TTTTTTTCCTACGTGGCCCGTGGAAGGGAAAGCATGAAAATTGCATGCTACGTATATCTGAGTTACAAAACAACAGTATTCCCAGCAGCATCCAAATACGGACGTATGGTTTGAAAAAGTAGGGTTTTTAAAGTAGGGTTTCGACTCGCCGTTCATAAAGGCCATTTCAGCTTGATTTTCTGGGAACTGTAGACCCAGTGGAATGCTGGAACCAGCCCATACAGGGCTTGCAAAAGCTGATTGTTAACTTTTCTGGAATTCTATGAGCCACTTGAGAGCAGAGCTGAGTCACAATGGAGCAGGCTGATTAGCCGTTCAGTGGCTAGTAGTGCAAACACTGTGGCAGCAACAGATCTGGAGATCCAGTTGTTAAACATTTACCAGCACACCACTTATCTAGACCCAATGTATATTTTGAAAGTACCAACTTGGGGGAGACTGATGTATGTGGTTTCTTCTCCCTCCCAATCCCATGTGTGGTTTAAACGTCTTCTTAGTCTGGGTTGGACTTCTCGAGTCAGAGAGCAACTTTTCAATCTTACGCTAAGCCAGTGGCTCTCAACCTGTGGGTCGGGACCCCATTTGGGGTCGATCGACCATTTCATGGGGGTCGCCAAGCAAGGCTGTCCGCCATTTTTTTTGTCCGCCATTTTTTCCCCCTTTTCCGGCGAGTGCCTTACCTCCCTTGGGCTGGGCCAGCTGGTGGTCGGCCTGCTCTGTCTCTGCCACTTGCCAGCTACGCCTCGGCCGGCGCAGGGGGCGGAACCACGCATGCGCGGTGCTCCCGGGCAGGGAAAGTCCTCGACTTACAACCGGTTGGGTAGTCCTCGACTTACGACCGGTTTAGTCCTCGACTTACGACCGGTTTAGTCCTCGACTTACGACCGGTTGGGGTCGCGGCATTAAAAAGGTTGAGAACCACTGCGCTAAGCAGTGCCAATCTTATTGCCCATTAATATTTGTCCCCATCCCATTTTCTTTTCTTTCTATTCCCCAGCTCCAAATATGGGTAATTTTTTAGCTGGGTGCTGCCATTGGGGTATATGATGATTGTCTCACCGAAGTGAATGAAATTTGAGGATGTTTTTATTTTCTTTTTAGAGTTTGGGAGAGCTTATGGGTATTCCCAGTGACTTAATGCATTTGCTTTATGCAGTAAATTGTAAAAGAGGTAGACATGCCTTGTTGAAAATTACTATTTCTTTGCTGATGTTGCTGAGTTCTGGGAATTGCAAAAATATTCCATAAGTGGCCCAAGGGCTGTAGGATGCCCACTCCTGCATGGTCCCTAAACGGTATAGGCCAGGGGTAGGCAACCTCGGCTTTTTTATGACTCATGGACTTCAACTCCCAGAATTCCTGAGTCAGCATAGCTGACTCAGGAATTCTGGGAATTGAAGTCCATGAATCATAAAAGAGCCGAGGTTGCCTACCCCTGGTATAGGCAGAACTCAGCAGCCTGAGCAAGGATAATGGAAACACAATGATTTCCTATTTAAAACAAAATGTATCATATCCTCATGTTGTCACATAAGAGCTCCCAGGTTTAAGGATATTAAGCAGAGCCCTACAGGATTCTGTCCACATTTTCTCTGAAGAATCATGAGCTTAAGGCTGGAAGGGATCTAACTCCCAGCACTTGGTACTCTGGTGAGTAGATGTGGGAGACAAGTGCTCTTACTTCCTTTCTTGAATCCTGCAGTAGGTAAAGAGTGGCCCTGTCTTGAGAAATCAGATTTAACATATATTTAGCATCAGATCCAGCATCCAGAAGCTACTGTGCTTTAGGGGAAAGTTTCCCAAATAATCTGGGCCATGAGCCATGCCAGATCCTGAGCCTACGTTGTCTCACTTTTGGTTTTCAATTTTATCTAAATCGGGGATGGGCACGCACATACATACAGTAAACTGAGAAAACAAATAGCAGTCGCTTTCAAAATAAAAATCTATGTGGGACGGATAAGGACAGCCAAAGGGCTGGTTGTGTCCCAGGGGCCATAAAATGTCCACGTCTGGTCTAGATTATAAAAGTAAAGGTCTCCTCTGTCCAGTCATGTCTAGGGAGCGGTGCTGATCTCCATGTCTCATCAGAGGGAGCTAACATCGTCCAAATATATTTTCTATGGTCATGTGGCCAGCATGACTATACACCAAGGCGCATGGAATGCTGTTACCTTCCCACCATAGTGGTACCTATTAATCTACTTGCATTTGTATGCTTTCAAACTGCTAGGTGGGGCAGGAGCTGGGGCAGATAGCGGGAGCTCATCCTGTCGTGCAATGCTTGGGTCTTGAACCCGAGCTGTCAGCTTTCCAGCAGACAAGTTCAGCATTTTTAACTGCTGAGCCATCGTGCCCCCTTCAGTCTGCATTATATGCCATTGAGATCATAACATCCCCAACATATTCCGGGACGGGGACAGCCAGTCACACTAATTTCAGCAGAAGACTTTGGGGAATGTTTTTTTGCAATTGTTGTGGCTACAGACTTTGTATTTGCTTCCTCTTGCGTTTCTGGAAATACTGGTTATCTTTCTTATATCATGGCTGCCAGACATTCATATTGTCCAAATAGAATTGCTTACAAGTCAGTCAGTTTCTTTTAACTTGCAAATATCAAAAAGTCTCTGAAGTCACTGTAATTGTGCCCTATGCTGGTGATTTGCTAATCTACCGGATTCCAAAAGACCGTGGAGTTCTAGTTTAGTTGTGGTCCCTGACAACGTTCAGGCAGTTTTAGAAACTCGGAGGTTGGTAATCATAGTAGTCTAGGTAATGTTTTCTCCTACCCACCCTCTTTCCCTGATAGGTTCGTTTGAACAAAAAAAGGGGCTATAGCAGTGGTCTTCAAACTTGGCCCTTTTATGACTTGTGGACTTCAACTCCCAGAATTCCTCAGCCAGCGTGCCTGGCTGAGGAATTCTGGGAGTTGAAGTCCACAAGTCATAAAAGGGCCAAGTTTGAAGACCCCTCGGCTATAGTTTGAGATTGCTCATTCATTTGCTCCTTGTTGCCTGTTGGTCTAGCTCACGGGTGTCAAACTCGCCACATCACGTGACGTATCACGACTCTTTTTGCATTGCCAGCAATGGGGTGGGCGCGGCTTCAGTATGATGAAACTGGCCCGTGGGCTGGCAGTTTGACACCCCTGGTCTAATCTGAGCCTCTGATGACTAAATCAGCCTTCCCTAATCTGGGTTCTCTCCAGATGTATGGGTTTCAAAATTTTCCAGCCAGGGAAGCTGTTGTTTAGAATTCTGGGAGTTGAAATCCAGACACATAGCAAGAGTCCAAGTTGGAGAAGGCTGGGAAAACCGCCCACCCCCCTAAACTTTATGTTCTTTTAGTTGTGAATTGTGAATGAGAGAGAGCGAGAAAGAGAGAGAGAAGAGTGAGGAGGATGCAGCTTGAATGGAGAACATGTTTCCCGAGGGCTCTCTGGAACATGGAGCCAGCTTGGCTTGGAAAGTAGGACTTTGGCTGTAATTCTTCAGCTGCTTTACTTTCTCTTGCATTTGGTCTCCCTGACAATGCTAAGGCAGCTTCATGAAGCCAAGTACAGCACTCCTGTCTTCTCCCCACTATGTTCTGTTCCTGGCACCAGCCTACTCCAACTTGTGTACCTGTTGAAGATCATCTGCCCCACTTGGAAGGTGTGTGGGTGGAGGCAAAGTTAATGTTCACAAGGAGCTGAGAATGAAAATGGGACAGGGTGGGGAAGGGTGTTCACATAAGTGTGAGAATGACTATTTCAGACTTCAACTCTGCAGAAATGCTTGGCGTGACTTCAGCTGCCAGAAGTGAGGGAACAGTCTGAGCTGCACTGCTTTTTTTTGGGGGGGGGGGGGGTAAAGCTAACTCCTCAGGCTGTTTCACAATGTAGGCCCCCGATAATGGGAGATTTAGTCTTCGTGTTCTCATTTATTCACTGTTTTTTTAAGAGTGACTTTCAAGGTGAATGTCTGTGGCTTTGGTCGGATGGGAGAAACATTGAATATATTCTTAACCGTTTAGTCAGTAAAGCAGCTGGAGATGAGAAGGATCTGCCCCATCCACCTGCAGAATTTCAAAGCCCAGGAGTAGAATTGTCACTCTTCCTCCTTGCTGCAGGCTGCTTTCCTGCAGAGAGCAATGTCAGGCTTTTAAACTAGAGGCATAATTGGGAAAGCCTGCAGCCTCTTCCCTGACAACCCTGCCTCCTGTTAATTCTGGTTTTAGCAGAGAGCTCTGCCTGTATCTGCAAGCAGGAAGAGATGCTGGCAATTCCTATAGCAAGAGGCCTGAATAAACAGGCCCCAGACAGCCTTCAGCTGCCTCCTTTCTTCACTCTGCCTTTCTTTCTTGGTTTTCTCCCTCCTGGGAATTTTTCTTTGCTCTCTACCTCTTTTGCTTCTGTTGTAAACCAGCCCTTTAGTATGTTTCTTCTAGGTTTGGTAATTCCAGCAGGTAACTTCCCTCAGCCATGCCTAGCATCTTCACTGCTTGTCATGCATAGCATGTAAATGAGCAAGAGCAATGCTGCCATCTAGTGTCCACCCATCCCAAACAGCAGCATTTTGTTTATACTGACAATCCAGCACAATTATTTGTGTGTGCGTCTGTGTACAGTATATACCCAGGAGAGTTGTGATTACTTTTCCTAATTTCTCTCTTATACTATAAAATGGAACAGTGTGTGTGTGTGTTAGAGAGAGAGAGGGAGAGAGAGAGAGAGATTAGTGTCACTTCTTACACCTAAGAATGTCTTTGAGTTTGCACTTATACTGATATTTCTCATTGGCAGTACGGTGGTATATAGATGGGGAAGATGGCGCAGAGTAAAAGGGAAGGTTGTCTCTTCCCAAGCATAACTGATGCCATCAAACTAACAACTCGTTCTCCACAACAGTTTCTTAAAAACTGAAAACAACAAGAGATATAGCCACAAGAGAAATGGGGAGCTTGGTTGTATGTCAGATGGGAAGTCTGTTTCCTTAATCATTTCTAACCATGTTTTTCAGATCAAGATCCTGCAATTCAAGTTGTGGCTGATAACCGTGACAGACCCAAACTGGTGAATGAGAAAGAAGAGGTGGAACAACCACAGATCAAAGTTCCCATGGATATGCCTAAGAGAGAAGACAAGGAGAAACCAAAGGAGGAGGTACAACTGGACCGGCCTGATCAAGGTAGTGTAGAATTAGAACTTGGAAAGAGCAATAGAGGCTAGAAATATTGAAGTCAGAGAAGCAACAGATTCACAACTTCTTGTAATTTTCGGTTCCCATTTATTTGATCAGAGAGCCCTGTAGATGTCACCTTATAAATATGCATGAATTGTACTTCACCAAATGTGTTGCTTTGTATGCTGTTCTTGATTGAGAGTCTGTGTTTCTTTTCCAAATAGGCATTGCACAACCTGTGGGAGAAGCCCATCGCCATGAGCCGCCAGTACCACGTGATGGGGTAGCAGTGGATGAGGGCCAGGACCGGGAGGACTCTGAGCAGAATCGGCCACCAGCAGACAAGGATGTCCTGGTAGAGAACAATGCTGTGGTGGAGAAGGAAGAACCTAAGATTGTTCCCAAACAAGCCGATGAAGAGAATGGCCAGAAAAAGTTGGAAGACCAGCCCATAAAAGATCACAAGCCAGTGCCCGAGGTCGTTGCACACAAGGACGATCAGTCTCTTCACAGAGATGTTCAGCTAGAAAAGCAGAATGAGAAGAGAGACAAGGCTGTGGGCGGGAAGAACGGTGCCAATTTGCAAGCAGTTGAACATGGCAAAGAAAGGGTAAAATCCATGGAGATGGAAAACGAAGCACGTATGTACTTTTCTCTGCTTCTTTTGGTTCCAGGGGAGTTTAATGTATTGCTTGGTCTTCTGAGATTTTGCATTTATACACTTGACATAAATTATTACAGAAATTGATTTGTGCCATTGAACGCCTGGAAGAACTGCCAGAGACAGTTAAAGCCACACCCAGCCTAATCTGCTAAGGTCTGAGCTGGGCTTTTCAGGAATTTTTCAAATTCCTACTGTATCAATCTGCCCTGTTCACAACTGTTTCTTTGCCACGAGGCTTCTGCCCTTTTATTTACAATGTTCACCTTGTGCCAGTGTTTTCTCCCACACGGTCACATCCTAGCTTTTACTGAAAGAAAGAAGTCCACTTCTGCAATAAAAAAAAATGTGGAAAGAGGAGAGGAGGGGAAGAAGAGGGAAGTAGGGAAGAAAGAGAAGAAAGGGAGAAAGAAAGTAGAGAAGAGGGAAAAGAGAGAAGGAGTGTGGATACAGTGAAAGGGGAAATGGGCGAGCAACATCAAAATTTATGTGTATGTATTTATTTGATTTTATTAAGAGTATCTGATAGATAAGAATGTAAAAATAATGTACGTTAATACTTGATAAAATATTACGGTAAAAAAAAAAAGTGGGTTTTATATCCCAGGCAAAATAATTATGAATTGCTTCGCTTGCAGTTAAAAAAAAATAAATTATGTGTGAAATGTATTCCCAGACTCCGGCTTGCCCCGACCTAAATTCACATTTTTTCTTTGTATGGAGGTACCGCTGAAGAGCCGTTCCAGTCATTGCTTGGGAAAGGGGGTGCACTGAATTATATTGGCCATGGCTCTTGTGCAATTCTTCACTTCTTTGCTAAGCATCAGGTGCTACCCCATTTTGGTCATTGGGGATTCAGAGCCAGATCTTGACAGGTGCCTCCTTGCATAAGTGCCCCATTGCTGTGCTCTCTAGGGCTCGGGCTTGCATTTTTAATAGGCTTAGGCAGTTAGCAGTGGTTTCTTGCCAGCAGGCTATAATGCTGTTAAATATTTTTTTATGACTTTTTCTTCGGCAATCAAGTTGGATAGAAACTGCAAAGAGGAAGGAGGGGGGCAGGGCCAGGGGCAGAGAACATCTGTCGTTTTCTTCGCTCCATCCAGGAAATATCTGTCCGTTTCTTCTTTTCAGATGATAAAAAAGACGCAGCTTCTTCAGAGAAGCTTGGTCCAGGCCAAAGTGAGCAAAGAGAGGTTCGTAATGCAGAAGACAAGCTTGAGAGCAAGCTCGAGGGTAAGTAAGCATTGTCCTTCCTCCACAGAGACAGATGTGTATACATATGCACGTGTGCACTCACACACTGCACACGTACACACTGAGGTTACCATCTGCTTCCCTGGCAGCCTTTGGTGTGTAGGTGTTAATGCTATATATGCCTAGGCCAAATTCTTTAATCGTGCTATGAAGGAGAAACTAGATAAAGGCTAGACTGCAAGGCCAGGCAATCTTGTCTCTGAGGTGATCTCAGACTGTGTGATCTGAGGCTGCGAGCACCAGAGCAATGCTCTCCCGCCATTTTGGCGAAAAGTAAACAACCAGGTCTCATAGAGCCATTTGCTTGTAAGGGAGCCACATTCTACGTACAGTTGCCACCCCCGACCTACGTACAGTTGCGGACCTGCGCCTTTTTCGCCGAGCCCTGAAGGCCCATCTATTCCGTGCGGCTGGCCTGGCGTAGTTTGATTATGTTTTAGTGGGGGTTTTGTATGGGGTATTTTTAGAGCAGGCCTGTTATTTAATTTGATTTTAGAACAGAAATTTGTGTATATTTATCGTGGTTTTTATTATCGCCTGTTCACCACCCTGAGTCCCGTAAGGGAGATAGGGCGGTATATAAATTCATTCATTCATTCATTCATTCAATCAATCAATCAATCAATCAATCAATCAATCAATCAATCAATCAATAAATAATAATTCCATTTAAAACTGCTGCTGAGCGGAGGAAGAGCCTTATAAATTCAATAAATAAATAAATAAATAAATAAATAAATAAATAAAAATTCCATTTAAAACTGCTGCTGAGCGGAGGAAGAGCCTTCTCAGCCAGGGTCCCCAGTTCCTCAAAACAGATGTGATTGTATTGGGGGTACGTCTGAATAGGCAATATTTTAAAACAGAGCAGCCTCGCCTCTCCTTTTCGCCCCTTCTTTTCTCCCAACACTTCAGAAGTCGCCAGCATTAGGAGAACCGTTGGGCTTCAGAAGCTCTTCCCTTTTCAGTCAAAACACAGTGCCTGCCAGTCTGACAACTTAAACCATAACCTCAAAGCAGGCTCCTGTTAGACGTCCTCAAATTCTTGTTTGATAGATGACTGTGAAGGCCGTAGCAGATTTCCTAAAAATAGTTTTAGTCTTGCGAGTTCTCTGGTGTTTTGAATACTCTTATGTACATTTTGTGCAGAAATCCTCCAGGCATATGAAAATGATTTTGTCCCCATGCCAGTCAAAATCTTCTGATTTCCCTAGACTGTTTGCCAATGGGGTTAATGCTAAGACAAGCTGATTATTATCTTATATCCCTTTTCTCTAATCTGTACCCCTACTGGCAATTAACTTTACATTAATTTCCTCCCCCTTGTCTTGATAACGTTTAATGTGTTTATAAGTTGCTAGCAAGAGATCTCCAGGTTGTCGATATAGAACTGGTTGTTCCAAAATATGATTGCTTCTTCTGGAAAAGAATAGTTCTTTCTGAACTATTGTGTTGTGGGGCCCGAAACTGTTCTGAACTAAGCAATGCCTATGATATTCAGTGGAGCACTTGTATTCTAAAATAAGCATTTCCTATTTAGTTTAGTGTAGGTAACAACCAGGACTCTTCCAGTGGGTTGTAAGGACTCTTGGATGCATTCTATTTTACGCGTGGAGTATGTATGCTAAGAATTAAATGGTTGTGAACTCAGTTGAGAAGAGAAAGATGGGGGGGGGGAAAGATATCCCTGTGGGTAAGAGGAAAAAGCTGCATTTAAAAGATGTGAAAGCTTGATGAAAGCAAGAGGGTAGATTCCCCCAAATTGATTTCCAGATATGCTGGAGTTATAGCTCCTAGAATTCCTAGCCTTTTGTGTTTTTCCGTGCCTTCAAGATACCATCTACTTCCTGTTTACAATGCAGTCCTTTTAGCAGTCCCAAGAAGGTTCCACACCTGTTTGCACTCTGATTCAGGTGACTTTGAGGAGACAGATGAACCCCCCCCAAGTGACCTCAAGGACTCTCAGTGCTAAGGACCAACACTCAAGAGTGCTAAGAATACAAATCCATCCATTCCCCACCAGTTAGAACAAAAGAAGCTTCTTGGATGAGAAGCAAAAAGTTTTCAAAGAGGAAAAAATAAAAAGAAGAAAGTCCAGTCATCTTTGGGGGTGGGGGGGGGAAGCATCTTTGGGACAACCGTGACCTGGATGATGAAGCGTTTCCATAGACAATTTGCCTTCACGGCAGTTTTGGTTTGTGCCACGCATGGAAAACTCCTTGTAGTTTTCTTGGCAACTTTTGGGGAAGTGGTTTGCCTTCTTCCATCTAGGGCTGTGAGGGACGGATTGGCCCAAGCTCACCCAGCTGGCTTTGTGCCTCAGGCAGGATTCAGAGTCTTCTGGCTTCCAGGATAATTTGCCCTTTTCATGGTTAGTGAGAATTCTGGGAACTGCGGTCCTAACTCACGGAGGACACCAGTTTGGGGGAAAGCTGCGTATAGAAAGCTGCGTATAGGGTATTTATATCGGTTCTCACTTACTTCCTATTAAACAGCAGTGACCACAGTATCTAAGAATGTAAAATTGATCCAAATGATACCCAAGTGAAATAGGGAAGACTCCTAGACAATGAGAAAATGTGGGACCATTCGGGAGGGCGGGACTGCCCCTTTTAAGTCTATTTCTTTCCCATATTTGCTTTACTTATTTAATAAACTAGAACAGGTAGTAAAAAGTAAAATTATTAAAATAACAAAAAGAAGAAAACAATGAAACGTAGGGATTCCCATGCCTCTATCGATGTAGGTGTCTGTATAACCGTATATGAACATAAAGGTGTATTTCTTTTGACTATGTGACTGTGAGAATTCTTTTGTTTTTACATTCCCACTTTGCCTGTTTTTACTTTACGTTATGTGTAGTTTGCTGAGATTATTACTTGGCTCTCCTTTGGGACAAGAGTTCCTTTTCTGCTTATTTGCACAGTATGTTGTTGATCTTCATGGTGTAGATCAGTGGTTCTCAACCTTTTTAATGCCGCAACCCCCAACCGGTCGTAAGTCGAGGACTAAACCGGTCGTAAGTCGAGGACTAAACCGGTCGTAAGTCGAGGACTACCCAACCGGGCGTAAGTTGAGGACTTTCCCTGCCCAGGAGTGCCGCGCATGCATGGTTCCGCCCCCTGCGCCGGCTGAGGCGTAGCTGGCAAGCGGCAGAGACGGAGCAGGCCGACCACCAGCTGGCCCAGCTCAAGGGAGGTAAGGCACCCGCCGGAAAAGGGGAAAAAATTGGCGGACAGCCTTGCTTGGCGACCCCCGTGAAATGGTTGACCGACCCCAAATGGGGTCGCGACCCATAGGTTGAGAACCGCTGGTGTAGATCAAGAAGGTTTGGAAGACAATTCAGGAATGCCATAATAGTTATCCTTTCTGGCAAAGCCTTTCTAGAAGGTGATTGGGAAATCAGATTTCTTGAGGCTCAAGCTTAAGAATGAGGATGTTACCTCTAGATCAGGGGTGTCAAACTTGCAACGTCGTGTGACGTGTCGTGACGTATCGTGACTTTTTTTGCCATTGCCAGCAAAGGGGTGGGCGCAGTTTCACTATGATGCATCCGGCCTGCGGGCTGGCAGTTTGACACTCCTGCTCTAGATTAAAGAAGCACAGAGTCTATATGCAAATATGGCAGAGACCATAATAGGCACAGGGATCTTCCTGATTTTCTCCTTGAAGATGTGCAGTAGACCACTTGGATAGATTCCTTCTAGCCTCAGTTTCTTCCTCCCCTCCAGGAGATGAGGAGAAGCAGCTAGACCATGCCGTCCTGTTGCAAGTGATAAAGGAACAGCAGGTTCAGCAAAAGCAACTCTTAGATCAGCAGGCAAAATTGTTAGCAGTGATTGAGGAACAGCACAAAGAGATCCACCAGCAGAGGCAAGAGGACGGAGGCGAGGAAAAGCCAAAGCAAGGTAACACACACACACACACACACACGTACATAAAATATTGTAGAAAGTTGCTTGTGGAGCTGTTATAAAATCTGCCCAGAGAAATGTCCCTTCTCCAGTGCCCTCTACAAGCAATAGGTTAAAAGCTGACTTAATTCTGGAAGCTAAGAGAGCAGCCTGCTTCATGATTTGAAAATGCTAGCATATATATACTTGGAAATGATAAAGGAGTAGAGAGTCAGTGAAGTAGAAGGAAAATGATATTAAGAGTTTGAGGAAATCTCCATGCATCCCAGCACTTGTTCAAAACTATAGGAAGACTATAAACTATAAAATAGAAGGTACTGCTTAAGAAACATGCTTACATCTTATTTATAATTTCACAATTAATGCAGTAACTTTGGCAGTCAGATGTAGTAGGGAGGGTACTGAGTAATTCTCCAAGGGCCTCTGGCTAAACTGTTTAGTTAGTGATAGAGTTTTCTAGTTTGCTAAATTGCGTATACAATAACTGAGAGCTCTCCACTTCTCTTTGCAATAGAAATCCAGCTGGAACAGGGCCTATCTTTGACCAAGAGTAAAGAGAGAGAAGATCACCCTGACAACAAAATTGAAAATGCTCCAAAGAATATACCAAGTGATAACCTGGGCCATCCTTTGCATCCGCCTGAGAACCAGCCCCAAAATCCTGATGAAATTAAAAGGCAGCAGGCCATTGGTCCAGGAGACTTAAAACCTATACAAAACAAATTAACTGAAATTCCCCCTAAAAATCTTATGGCTCAAATAAACGATGATGAGAAAATTGTACAACACCAAGCTAATGCAAACCACAAAGAGGAGCTAGAACCAGTCAGGAGTGATTCACAGATAGCTAGGCCTGACGGACACCACCAGGAAAAGCAAGCCAAGGCTGAAGATTTGAAAAGGCAGGAGATTCAAGTGGCAGACAATATTGAGAAAAGAAAGGAGGCTGTGAAAAGGGCTGAAAGCCAAAGGGAGAGACCAGAGGTAGCCGACATCCATGGTGCCGAGGGAAGGATTCCTCATATAGCTTCTGAGAGTGAGTCCCTTGCCAAGGAGGTCAGAAAAGACTTCCACGATCCAGAGATTCCACTTAAACCAAAGATTGCTGATAACATACCAGGGAAATTGGAAGTCCATGAAACTGTGAAAGCTGACCACGGTGGGGAAAGACAGAGCTTACCTTTGGACCAGGTTGACAGATTACAGGGCCAAGGGGCCAAGAGTAAAGAGAGGATGGCCACTGGATCCCATCATCCACAGCTGAGTAATGCCAATGATCAAGGGCACGATTCAAAGAGAGAGCAAAGGATCCCAGAGAGCTTGCATGAAGCTGACAGTGACCATATCTTACAGGCAGACATAGTTAGGCCTGAGTCCAGGGATCATGAAAAGGCCAAACCCAACAGAGACCTCAAGCTACAAGCAGACCTGGACCTACGCCGCAAAAGGCGAGATCTGGAAGAGGAGGAGGGAGGTGTAATATTTGGACTTAACCCCGTCCCAGATGTGAAAGTCAATGACCTCCGTAGCGCGTTAGACACTAGGTTCAATCAGGCAGCAGAAGGTGCCCAGCAAGCCCTTCACAGCCGACAGATTAAACAGATACCAGCGGGAGAAGAAGAGGCGTGAAAGTCTTTGCACTCTAGGGAAACGTAGGAATCCACCAGCTGCTTAAAGGTGTCTGTTACGGAGCTAACTGCCATTGGTATATAACCGTTGGCAACCCAGGTCAATCTGAACTGAGCCCCAATGACTGAGCATTGTTTGCTCTGGCAGAAAGAGGAATTTCCATGCTGCCAGCCAATTTCATTCTTCAAAAACGCTCTCCTCGCTCTGCTGGTAGCTTGTGTGCAAAACCCACGTTCATCTGTTTTCTGGGTTCCGAAAATGCTTTACACTTGCCATCTTTCCAAAGAAGCATGCCCGTTTTTATTCCTGCTCAGATACTTTTAATGGTTTAATTTCTATGTCTAGTGTCTGTTGACTTGTTATTTTATCTCGTTGGAAAATCCCTTTATGGGTATGTGGATGTTAATCCGCCCTTAAATTAATGTTTGGATTTTTGTGTTCTACCATTTGCTAAATGGGTTGATTTGGCTTTTGGAAGTGGTTGCAAGAAGATGAAAGAAGTTCTGTAAACGTCTGAAAGGGGAGCATCTCTTCAAAGATAAATTCTTAGGAATATGGACTGGATTGCTAACAAGTGCATTTTTACAGCGACTTACAAACTGCTCTGATCTTTTTCAGCCAGGTCCAGTATTAGCAATAATAAAAGTAGCCTATTTTTTCTTCATTTTTGGTTATCAAAATGTAGGTCTATGTTTTAAAAAACATACCTGTCTTAAGTGCATTATGGAACCATACTGTGCATAAAAGCCTTGCAAGATGCTTGTTTAAATGATTTCAAAGGGGCACCATCAGAGTAGGCTGTCTACCTCTTTCCTCCATTTTATGAGTGCATATAGGGTAGCTTAAAGCTGTCCCCCTATATCCCTTCCAGTTCTTCAGGGGACTCCAGTATGTTAGTCCTGTCCTAGACTTGGCAAGCTTCGACATTTGAACACGATTTGTTCTAGGTGTCCTTAACAGTCCCAAGGATTGTGCTAACAAATGATGCAGCAAATTTAAGCTCTGGACATTTGATCCTCGCTAATATCCAGATATTTGGAATTTGGCTATAAACTATTAACTATCAAAGTCGGTTATCAGTTTATTTTCCTAGAACAAGGAGGAAAAAAATAATAAAGCGGGTGTTGCTTCATGGAATTGAGATTTGGGGAGGGGGGGGGGCAATGCCATTGTCCCATCTTGCCTGTGAAGTGTATTTGTTGTATTTCCATTCAGGGAGACAGAGAAATGTGGCTGGTACCACTTGACTATTGCAAGGGCATTTTTCCTTGTTACAAACATTATTGTTCTAACTTTTCCTCAGGCATTTCATTGGTCCTGTTTGACCATCATATTAAACTGACTTTAGGCGATTGTAATAAGCTGCAAAGGGCCTTCAGTTTACCTATAATCCCCTCCCAAGCCTCCACCCCCCAAAGGTCACATGATGTTTGGAAGCTTGAGCTTCTGTTTTGTTAAATAGTCTCCAAAAGAAATTATGGTCTTTGTGTATCAAACTATGGTTAACGGAAGTCACAGCTAAATGGAAACTAGAGATTCCAAACTCCTTGCAAGCCATATTTGAGAATAATATGTGTGCAGTAAATTCATTTTCATCGTATTAAACCAGTAGCCAAGCTGATAGTTTTAGTCATTTTGGACTACAAACCCTATAAACTCAATCAGCATGACCAGTGATGACAGGTTATAGTCCAAACACTTGCAAGACATCAGCTTGTTTACTCCTGTGTTTAATTGAGGCTGGGGGCAACATTTCCTAACCCAAAATCCCCACATGTTTTGCTATTCTCTGAGTTGGCTGGGCATCTTGGAATTAAAGGGGAGGGATAATTGGGGAAAGACGAATTTAATATGATATTCCACATGACCACTGAATAGTGCTGGCCAAAGCACAATTAGTTTGTGGTTGGACTGCTGTTACTTCAGTATGTAAATTCAGTATGTAAATATGATTTATTTTATTTTTTGTAAATATCAGCCAAATTGCTTTAATGTAAAAGGGCTATGAACGCCCTGTCATGGTTTCTCTGGCCACAGTGTGACCGTCTGCTGTAATCGAAGGACCAAAGATACTTCTGGCATTCCTCCATAGTTTTTGAAACAATCCATCTCCAAGCAATTACAAAGAAAGACAGACAGCAAGGCAGCCCTGGATTTCATCTGGAATTCCTCACTTGCTGCCACAGCAAAATGTCCAGTTTGCAGTGTTGTACAATGACCAGTCCCAGGGATTATGGCTAACCTGCACAAATCAATAAAAAAAAAAACCTGAAGCATTTTAACAGAGCCTTTTTTTTCTTATTGGAAATAGTTGGTTTACACAACACAGGACATCAAGGCTGCTTAGTTGCAGACAATATACACAGCTGAGGAAATGTCTGTTGATCTTGATGCATTTTCTAGCTTTTACACTCTGGTTTGATTTTGGATGCCACCAACAAAACTAGCTCACTACTGTATTACAGAGCTTCAAGTAATCTTATTAATCACCCTGATGACATACATACTGGGCTTGTTCCCAGCTAGAATACAATCCAATTATTTTCTGAGACATGGTCATAATAAACTGACAAGATTTGTAAAAGATACTGATATATGATATTTAATACTTTCATAAACTTTTTTTGCTTTCCTAACATTTTTCTCACAAAGGCAGTGTTCCTCCCCCCATTTTCCCCCCAGATCAACTAATGTTGGTCCATTGGTTGCGACAGGAATTGACCAATGAACCAGCTTGTTGTCTGAGCTTGACAATATGGGCTGAGAGTGACTGGCCCAAGATCAGCCAGCCGGCTTTCATGCTTAGACGGGACTAGAATTCACGGTTTCCAGCTTTCTAGCCTGGGGGCCTTAATCATTAGACCAAACTGCTTCCATTTAATAATTTCACAAACATGCATTAATGTTTTGTGTTTTATGACCAAAGTTGCATTCTAGAAACCTACCTAGTTGATATTTGACTCTAGAACTGAGCAGAGTTCGACAAATCCCCAAGGAGTTTTAGGAACATTAACATGGAAGCCTAGCATTTTTAGCCAACCAAGAAGTACAGCTCTGCCCCAATCTTCATATTGTTACTAGTCAGATTTTGAGCTGTTCTGTGGAACCTTGGCACATATACGCAAACACATTTTGGTCCTTAGGCAATTTCACTGATTAGATTTTTCCCCCCAAAGCATTAGTGAGGAAATTCATATTCAGAAGGGAAATCAAATATTCAGAGTTGCAAATATCAGGATTTTTTTTATATATCATAACTGGATATTTTTGGGTAAATGACCAATGACTGTTAGGGAGTTGGCCACTCTGGGCTTTCTTTGCCCCAGTTTTTCAGGAGCTGGAATTAGCAATATAAAGTAGCTTAAGCAAGATCTACAGGAGTATCTTATTTTATTCCTGTAAATAAGAAGGGAATTAGTAAATCCTCAGGGCCAAATTGGTACAAGTACCTAATTTAACAGACACTCCACTGATAGGAGAAGGCCACTGGTATATTAATGTCATATATTTTACCAAAGGGAACCTGACATATTTGCTAATAGAAATTCTAACATTACAAAAATCTGAATTAAATGGTATTTATATACTTTCTGGCTTTATACTTCTTGGGCTTGAGCTTTGCCTCTTGCCACTCTGAGAAATTACACTGCTCATCCCATGTTTAAATTAAACCTTCCCACACACTGAGTCTTACATTTAAAAAAAAAAGTTTTCCAGAATGTGCTTACAGTACCCACATGCATAAATTGAAAAGCCATTAGTTCTTGGCACATTGGGAAATATTCCATTTTTGGATCTCAGTATACGACAGATGGAAATTTTCTTTATTCTTCTGTGCTGAAAACAACTATAAATCCCAGATTTGCCATCAGTATCCATTTCAAGTCTTTACATTCCTTTTTGCCTGCAAAGAAAGGTCAATTTTCTTAGAAAAAATATTAAGAATTATGTAAATATATTTCTATCAATATATCCTGTAGCATGAGGCCAATGAGATTTTGAAATGGGTCAGTTGTCTGCTATCCCTCTTATAATTATAATCCTTCTAGTTAATGTGCAAAGCAAATGTGGGACAGGGTAGTTCAGGACTTACAACCATTCAAAGTTATAATGGCATTGAAAAAAGTGACTTATGACCAGTTTTCACACTCGGAACCGTTGCAGCAGCCCCCTAGTCATGTGATCAAAATTGGGGTGCTTGGCAACTGGCATGTATTTGGGACACTTGGAGTATCCTGGGGTCATATAACCTTCCCAGCTGGCTTCCAACAAGCAAAGTCAATGGGGGAAAATCAGTTTCATTTAACTGCAGTGATTTGCTTAACAATTGTAGCAAAAAAATGTAAAATGGGGCACAACTCACTTAAAAACTGTCTTGCTCAGCAATGGTGGTTGTAAGTCATGGACTACCTGTACATCTAAATACACAGATTCTCTTAACTTCCATATTAAGGGGGATAAGCTCATCCCAAAGAAAGACAGTTTTTTAGTAGTTTCTTTCAGAAATTTCTTCAGTCAAACTCTTTGTAAGCTCTAACTAAATGAACAAAATCCCCCGATAGCAGTTTCAGATAAGTAAGTTTCAGTGAAGTCCACATGTTTCTGTCAGGTAATGTTACCAATCATTGAATTTCAAATACAGGTAGTCCTCAACTTACAACCATTCATTTAGTGACTGAAGTTGCCACGGCACTGAAAAAAGTGACATGACAGTTTTTCACATTCACGACCATTGCAGCATCCCCGAAGTCATGTGATCAAAATCTGGATGCTTGGCAACTGACATGTACGGTAATTATGACGGCTGCAGTGTCCCGGGGGTCACGTGATCATCTTTTACGACCTGACAAGCAAAGTCAAAGGGGGAGGCCAGTTCCACTTTACAACCACGTAACTAACTTAACATCTGCAGTGATTCACCTAACAATTGTGCCAAGAAAGGTCATTAAATGGGTCAATTGTGGTCATAAGCCGAGGACTGCCTGTATAAACAGATGCCTTCTTACAATTATGAAGTTTTTGGACATTCTGAAAAGTAACCTCCCCCCCCCCCCAAAAAGACTATTTCTTCTGCCAAAGATACAGAAACAAGCCTAAAAGTTGTAAAAATGGACAACAGACAAGAAAGAACAATTCAGTGTGGTAGTCCTGAAAGCAAAGCAAAGCTCTAGCAACTGTTGATGACATTTACTACTGTACTTCCTTTCAATTTGAGGTGCTATAAATTATTTGCAGCAAATGTGACCTTCTATTTTAAGAAGAGGGCGGGGGGGGGGGGATGGAGAGAACTTTAATGCCTGTAAAATTAGGATTATTTCCAGATTCCTGGATCAGCTCTCTAGATTTCCAGCTACCAAAAATAGGAAAAAGGACAACAGCACATTTTTATGTGCCTCTATATTTATAGCATGTTTTGCTCCTAACAGGCTCCCAAATGAAAAGTTAAACCATGTGAAATGAAAAACAAAATGCAAACAACTCACAGCCTCTGTGAAGCAATCCATCAGCATTGCAAATTCCTTGGCACACACATCCTTTTTCAAGTTTCCATGTTCAGTAGTATTGGAAGCCATACATTTGCCATAAACTGAGGCCTGCAAATATCAGCTCTAATTAGATGCAAACTGTGCAAGGCACATTCAAACTCTGGTAAACCCTAAGAAAGTTTAATCTTTGTAGGTCTTCAATGCAGTAAACACCCACATGCTTAAGAATACAAACAATACTTAAGAATATACAGAGACCTATATTCTTTAATGTCACAAGGAATTAGTCAAGTAAGTACATATGTAATAAATATTATCTCAATTTTAGGATATATGGAATTTTACTGTGGCCTATGGGTTTTTTGTTTGTAGCTTAAAATATTTTCATAAACAACAAACATTTAGTAGTCCCTGGGCACTGTGTTTATGAGATATCATAATAATGTACTATTCTGGGTATGTATTTGGTTTTTCCAATTTGTTCCACTTTGGCTTTTAAGCCACCTAGAGCAGGGGTGTCAAACTCCCGGCCCATGGGCAAACTGCATCCACCCCATTGCCGGCAATGGGGAAAAAGTCACGATATGTTGCGACATGTCACGCGATGTCGCGAGTTTGACACCCCTGACCTAGAGATTTCTAACCACTGCCAAACTTTACTCAAATAGGATAGGATTAACTCATACCGGTCTGTCTTATTCAGATCTTACAAGACAGTTCATCCTGGTAGGAGGATCTGTTCGCCAGCACAGCAAAGACAAACTCTGCAGTGCTCTCCCGTTAAAAAAAGGAATACATATAAATACATGCCTGCATGCAACAGTCCAGAAATGGACAGGATCCTGAACAGACAGCAGTCACACCTTGAAGGACTGACTGACTGACTGACTGACTGACTCTCTCTCTCTCTCTCTCTCTCTCTCTCACACACACACACACACACACACACACACACTTATTTACATGTAATGACTTTAAGCTCCTCACAATCCATAAATATACCGATAAAACAAAAATACCCTTCCCTTTAGGTTCCAGACCATCTTGGTCCAATGTTTACAGGAATAGTAAGCTCTTCGTGACCCTCTGGAAGGTTAAGAGTAGGAATCTCTCAGATAGGAGGCTATTCCAATGTGGTTTCCACTGTGGTGTACCTTTGAGGTCCAATCAGCTGACAACATTTAAGAGAGTGAATCTGGACTGGACCCACCCTAACCTAGTGGGATGGGCAGAGAGAGGCAGTTCTGCCAATAACCCAGCTTTGGGCCGTAAACAGTATGTTAAAGATGATGATAACCAGCACCTTAAATTGCATCCAGAAAGCAACTTGGAGCTACTGCAGCTGGCACAACCGTAGTGTTGATCAGGTGCAGGGCACCCAAAACTGTGTTTCCCTGCATTCCTAACCAGTTGTAACTTCCAAATGGTCTTCAAGTGTTTTGCAGTAATCCAAATGGGAGGTGACTAAGGTATGAATGAGTGCAATTAGTGCACAAGATTAATTTGTGTAAAGTCCCCCAACACAGCTGCCACCTTCTCTTCCAGGAGAGCCCCTAAATGTTACCCCATCCAGAGTCAGAAATGTCAACTCTGGTCCAGTGGGGGGGACACAAAGACCCACAACCCCTCTGTCTTGCTAGGGTTAAGTTGCAGCCGGCTCCTCCCCATCCAGGATCTTACAGCTTCTAGGCATTAAGTCACCATCTGAACAGCATCACTTGCCTGGCATAGAAGAGAAGTATAGCTGGGTATGAACAGCATACTGATGATCCCAAACCCTATGCAGCTTAAATTTATAAGTTAATGTTTTTCAAACTTGTCAACTTTAAGATGTGGTGGACTTCAACTCACAGAATTCCCCAGACACTATGGGGAGTTCTGGAACTCCATAGCTGGAGAATTCTGGAAGCTGAAATCCACACATCTCAAAGTTGACAAATTTGAAAAACACCAATATGGACGTTAAATAGGAGGCGATCAAAACTACCTAAAACTCTTTTCTCCCTTCCCGCCAGAGGAGCTTGACCCATCTAGCTTCTTTCCTATTATATTATATTGTAATGATAATAATAATAAAGTTGGAAGGGACCTTGGAGGTCATCTAGTCCAACCCCCTGCTCAGGCAGGAAACCCTATACCATTTCAGACAAATGGCGGTCCAGTCTCTTCTTAAAAACTTCCAGTGTTGGAGCATTCACCGCTTCTGGAGGCAGGTTGTTCCACTGGTTAATTGTTCTAACTGTCAGGAAGTTTCTCCTTAGTTCTAGGTTGCTTCTCTCCTTGATTAGTTTCCATCCGTTGCTTCAGGCGCCTTGGAAAATATTATATTATTATATTATATTATATTATATTATATTATATTATATTATATTATTATATTAATTATATTAATTATATTATTATATTATAATTATATTATATTATATTATATTATATTATATTATATTATATTATATTATATTATATTATATTATATTATATTATATTATTATTATATTATATTATACATTATATTACATTATAAATTTAATTAATTACTACGGTGGTGTGCCATCAAGCCATTTTCGAGTCCTAGCGACCACACAAGCAGATTTTCTCCAGGACGGTTTCTCCCTAAATGCTAAGTGGGTGAATTCAGGTGCCGGAGACGCTGACTCTTGCTGCCCCTGCAATCGGGGATGCTCAGCCCCTTCCGTGCCCCCTACCTGCTCCCCACAACTTGCCAACAGCTCAGGGAAGCGTTGCACCCTCGCTCGGACGCGTTCCCAGACTGCTCGACTGGACATAGCCGGAAGGAGTAAAAACCAGCCTCCTTAGCTATCGGCTGGACGCAGGGCCATCTTCCGCGAAGCAGCACTTTTCAACCGCCCTTCACCACCGGCCTGGAGCCGGGCCTCAAACATGACCCCGCTTCCCGACTGGGAGACGGCTTCACGATCCTTCTCCCCTGATTGGGTCCCGTTCCGCACCAGAAGCTTCCGATTGGATGGGAAATGGAAAGCAGCGGGTCTTGGCTCTCGCCGTTCGCTGGCGGCGTCCGATGACGACAGAGACAGCTGTTTGCTGAAGTACGTGATTGGCTGGTTCGGGATAAGGTCGCCGTTCGATTGGAGTATCTGGCGTCCCGGGAGGCGGAGTATTGAAGCGTGTGGCTGGATCCGGAAATCACGATGGCGGCTGTACCTTTGCGAGATCGTTTGAGTTTCTTGACTCGGGTAGCGTGAATAATATGATATTGCGTAGGGACGGGGTGTCTGGAGATTTAGAGTATTAATTTACCCTAAAATCTCTGCGGGAGGGTGGAGGTCAAGAAGTCAAATGAAGTTATGATTTTTTTCTAGAGATGTATTAGATGCTTCAGTTCTTTTGACAGCTTTATACTTCAGCAGTATAAGGCAGAGAAGAAAATAAATGTCGTTTATGGACTATTTTATCAATGCAAAGTGTAGACTTGGAGCTTGTACGTTGCATGCTGTGCAGCTGAAAAGACTTGCAGAATCATTCCCCATAGAGGCTTGTTTGCTTTCAATAACATCAGGCTACAGCAAGGCACAAGCCACAACTAATATTAAAGTTCCACTTAGCACTGCAAACATTGGATGGCACTTACTTGTAAAAAGAGATGTTACCAGCTGCCTCAAAAGTTACTAGTGATAACTTGAAGAGATGTCACAGTCAGCCAGTGTGCAGAGAAGTCACATTGTATTAGGTTGCTTGAAATTAAATAAGCGTTTAAGCATTTGGAAGCAAAGGAGATAATTTTTCTTCCAACTGTATTTGGAGACAAGTTTTATTGCAGGATCCAATCTGAGTTGATCACCAGGACCAGAGGTGTACAGGGTTTTTCCCCCCGGTGATCAACCCAAATTGGATCCTACAGGATTTTGTGGGGGTTTTTGCCCTTTTTGGGCAGAAAAAAATACAAGTTTCGTTCTTTTATTATACCAACTAAAATTAGAGACTTGTAAAACATAAAAGACTTTTTTCTACAATCAGGGTGTGCCATATTCTATTACAAAGTATGAGCTCATATTAGATATTAATGCTCTGCCTGGAGCATGGATTAGTATCAGGGAATGAAAAGGTCTTGATGGTACTATTAGCCTACCTATATTTTCTCATTGCTATTTCTCCCTCTTTTTAATTTCTATTGCTTCATAGTGCCATTGATTGTTGATACTAACCATTATACATCAGGAAGAATCCAAAGTGACTTTTCTTTGTATGTGTGTGTTCTTTTCATCAGTTACCCACTCTAATCAAAGGTACCTCAGATGATGAAGTTCCATGCCCAGGCTATCTGCTTGAAGAGATTGCCAGTATCCTTTGATCTTTAGAACAGTCGTATCATCTGTGTGTGATCTATTCTTGAAATCATTTTAGTTATATAGTACTCACTTTTGTTAATAGCAAAAATGTATGGCTATAACAAAGCCTAATATATTTAATGATCTGGAATCTTCCAACAGATTGGGAGAGCAGTACAGTAACTATATTTGTTTTCAGTTGTATCCCCCCATCTCCTTAATTCCATACCTATATATTGAAAATCCATTGTATTAAAAAAAATCTTATTCTAGCAACCCAAGAAATTTAGGACTTGGGAGAGAGACCACAAATGTTTGAGCGATGGTTGTCTGTCAGTTCCTTTATTTTGATAACTCTTTAACATGACAAACTTCCAGAGATCTCCCATGAATCAACAGGAAGCAGTCACTGTCTTATTGAATACCTCCTCAATCGTCTTCAGAACAACTCATGCCACATCAAGCTGAAGGTAAAAAAAGTGGTTTGAAAGAATGTGGCCAAAGCCCACATCCACACTGGAGCAGATATCCTTAATTTTGAAACAAAAACAAAGATTTATACTTTTAAATCTGTTTTCACAATCCCAACTTAGCTTCTGCATTCTTAGGTGCTTAAGATCCTGCTCTATATGTGCACCCATGGCTCGTCACCTTTCCTTCTGCAGCTTAAGAGGAATTCTTCATTCATTCAGGAAGCCATAGGTAGGTCAGAGATTCCAACAAGAATAACCACATCTTCCTAATAATAGCTATGTAATGTCCATTCAGCACCTGTGTGATCTCAGTAGACTTTTACAAATTTGTAAAAAGAGCAGCATGGTTAATGTTATTGTCAAATATTACAGTTGAAGGGTTTGATACTGAGAAAAGATTGGTTTGCCTAAAGCTAGTTAGCAAGTTTGGGTCAGAAAATGGCTTCTTGATTCACAGCTGAAATATAACTATTACCGGTAGTTATATAACCATCAGGCAATAGGTCCCACTGATCTCCTGGGTTAGGCACTACACTAGAAACAAATGGGAGAACACAATTTGCCTCTCTCCAGATCTTGTAATCAGTAGTCCACAAGGGGAACAGAACTGTCGTTGTGCTATCAATTCTAAATTATCTTACCCTGCCAGGAAGACTGCTCCAATAAAACAAACATTTTGAATTATTTTAATTTTTCAGATAGGTTGAAGGTGTTGCTCCTAGTGGACTTTGATGTTTGATGTCTCTCTTGCTCTCTTTCTCTACTTCCTATGGCATAGGGAACAGGGGGGTGGAGATGGATTGGCAACTATTTCTGGATATTCTAGTTCCCACACACATTTGCATGCATAAAACCTCATTTATTATTCTGCATCAATATGAAAGTCACAAGTGATCTTTATTATATCACTGATTGTGGTACTTAGGAGCCATGGTGGCGCAGTGTTAGAATGCAGTATTGCAGGCTAACTCTGCCCACTGCAAGGAGTTTGATCCTGACCTGCTCAAGGTTGACTCAACCTCCCATCCTTCAGTAAAATAAGGACCCAGATTGTTGGAGGCAATATGCTGACATTGTAAACTGCTTAGAGAGTGCACTATGAAGCGGTAGATAAGTCCATGTGCTATTGCTATTACGTTCTCTGTCGGGGGCATGTTTTGTACTAGTTGTATGGAACTTGTTGTATAGGGTATTTTTCATTGCCTGCAAACAGACTCAGCTGCTTTGGTTGATGCAGTTGTTGTTTTTAGGAGTCTATAAGGAGTGAAACCTATGCAGGGCACACAAGGATTCTGCTCTTTTACTTCCTCACCATCTCTCTCCTTTGCCTTGTAGGATTCACAGGGCCTCCTGATCCTCTCCATGGCAACAGCTTGTATCAGAAGGTGCGGATGACTGCACAGGTGAGTGACAAGACCCAGTCATGAGATCTGGATACTCTCAAAGCCTACCATATAGAAGGGCTTTCTGTATGGCCATTCATCACATTGCCCTTTGCTTGCCTCTCTCCTTGTAGGACCTGGCAGGCACTTTATTTTCAGATGTGCTGTTGCCTCAGTGTGTTACTCGCCCACCTAAAGAACTGCCTTCAGCAGGTAAACCAATAGTGCGAAGATAAAATTGTAGTGCCTGTATAGATCCCCTGCATTACCTTTTTTAATTAAAAAAATATGTAATTTTATTTCCCTTTTTCCTCCTTTCCTTCCATGCTAAGGTGAGCATGATTTCCTGGGCCTGAATAACAGAGGGAAGAGAATATTACCTTTGAGAATGATACTGTCCAATTACTTCTGGTCTGGGGGTGTTGAACCATCTATTTTGTCTTTTTCAAATATTCTGGAGTAAAGCCACACATTAGAACCATAGCAGAATTATAATTCTAGGCCAAATTATTGGGGTCAGGTGAGAGCAATTTCACTGTAAAGCCACTTACAGCAAAGCTTCAGCTGAACTGAAGGAACAGGAAAGCCAGCTGGGTGACTTTGGGCCAGTCCCTCATTCTCAACCCAACCCACCACACAAGGCGGTTGTTGTAAGGAAAATAGAAGGAGGGAGGAGTATTAGATATATTTGCTGCCTTGAGTTATTTATAAAAATAATGATGGCAGGATAAAAACGAATAAAACTATTTTCATCTGATGCTGATAAAGTGGAGAAAAGCATGTGAGCTGCCTGCAGCAGCACCGTGCTGGATTCAGTCTTCTTTTGCAAAGTTCTTTTCATGTCTCTCTCTTCCTAGGTATGGGAAATAGGTCTAGCCCCCATGGCTCTCTCGAAGGCTTTGGTTTTGAAAAGAACAGCTCTGGTAAGCACTGGGTTCAGGAGCTGAAGGGACATGACTTCTACAATACCCCCAGGTCCTTGGTCAAGAACCTTCTGCCTGCCTCCTAGTCTTCTGCTTCCCCTACCTTGCCTGCAGAACTTTGCTATTCATCATGTTCAGAACCTTTCCTCTCCTGATTCGTAGCAAGTATCCAGCAGTAACTGCTGGGGCTCAAAGCCACTCTGAGCACTAAAGCAAGTTGAGCTGTTCAGAAGAAATCAGTTGAATAAATTCCCAGAGATCTTGCGATTTCACCTGAAAATTTTGTAGTTTGGAAGGACATAAATTTGTTTTGTTATGGAGCAGGTAACACAGTGTTTCTCAATCTTGGCAACTTTAAGCTGTATGAACTTCAATTCCCAGAATCCCTCAACCAGCAGGGTTGGCTGGGGAATTCTGGGATTTGAAGTCCACACAGTTTAAAGTTGTCAAGGTTGAGAAATCCTGAGTTAACATATGCCAATGCGGGTCTAGCAATATAGGACATAATCTCAATATAGGACATAATCTTCTTATTTTGGACTCTGTGGCTTAGCCCTTCTCTTTTCTGAACAAATGGATGTAAATTCACGGCCATTGGAAGTTATTTCTTGTGTCTGGCATTTTTCTCCCCTATAGTTACTTCCCTAATGTAACACGACATACACTGAATCTGTATAAATGGTTTCCTTTTTTTGCTTTTCCAGTATCCCCTGGCAAAAGTCTGCTGGCTACCATCCAGAAGGCAGCTGAGGTGGTTGCCAATGTGGTGCTCCCTGGTCAGGAACTCACCTGTCCCCCTCAGAGGGAGCTGGCGGACAATGTCTACGAGCCAGTGATGGCACCTTCTCCTGGCACAAGCCCTGCCTTGCTCACTAAGCCACCGGCAACCCTAGCCAAGAAGATGCGAGGTAGCAGACATCTTCCATTCAGTATACATTAAATCTTTTTATATTTGGCTGTTTTTGAGAGGAAAAAAAAAGATATGCATATAGTCCTTGACTTATGACCAAAATTGAGCCCAAAATTTCTATTGCCAAGCGAGACAGTTGTTAAGTGAGTTTTGCCTCATTTTACAACCTTTCTTGCCACAGTTGTTTAGTAACACGGTTAAGTGAATCTGGCTTCCGCCCTGACTTTGCTAATTGCTTAGCAGAAGGTCAGAAAAGGTGACCACATGGGAAAAATATGAACCAGTTGCCAAGTGGTCTGAATTCTGACCATGTGACCATGGAGATACTGCAACAGTTACAAGTGTGAAAAATGGTCATAGGTTTTTTCCCCCAGTGCCATTATATCTTCCAACGGTCACTAAATACACTGTTGTAAGTCAAGGATTACCTGTAGAGAATTAAGTGCAGAGAGCGGGCCATGTAAGTTCCCCAACTAAGTGCTCCTTGGCGGAGCCCCAAGTCAACATCCACACATTTTCCAGTGTTTTCTGGTACTTTTAAACTAATTTCTTTGTATTTTGTTTGGGCGATGAGGGCGATGTCAACTGTTTTGGATTTTTTTTAATGCCATAATTATAGTCGTAGGTTGCCTTGAATTCGGAGGTTTTTCTGGCTGGCCCTGCCCACTTTCTAAGTAGCACCCCACTAACATTCGGCGGCCCTTTGTCCTTGAAGTGTAGGGAATGGACATATTTCCTAAGCTCAAACCAAACTTGGCCAACTGCTTGTAGATTTTGAGGCATAGCAATAGTGATGAACGAATGCCATTCCTGGTTTTTAAAGAAGTCATTCAGTCTAATTACCTGATTCCTTTGCAAATTCTCTCACAGTGAACCATCAACCTGGGCAAGCAGGAGGTGGGTGGGAGGAACTGGATACCGGGCTCAGCTCCCAGAATTCCTTGCAAGAGAATAGCGACCTGAGCAGAACTTCGGAATCTGACAGCAAAGCAGACAGTGAAAATCATTCCAGCGATAATCATTCCAGCGCCCTGGAGCCAGGCAGTGCTGCTGACAGGTAAGAGAGAAACTGGGAGAGCTAATGGCTGGGCCTAGGCCAGGGGTAGGCAACTTTGGCTCTTTTATGACTCGTGGACTTCAACTCCCAGAATTCCTGAGTCAGCTATGCTGGCTCAGGAATTCTGGGAGTTGAAGTCCACGAGTCATAAAAAAGCCATGGTTGCCTACCTCTGGCCTAGGCCAAGTGGAGAATAGCCAAAAGAGAGCTGATTTTTTTTTTATTTGGATTGGGCAGAGTCTTGACTACAGAGCTCACTGGAGAATTTTGGGCTACTTATTATCTCTCAGCCCAGTGCCACCCAGATTGTGGTGGTGTTGGTGGTGACAAAATGAAGGAAGACATCCCCCTTCCCCCCCCTTAAGCTTCCAGAGGAAAAGCATGTTATGCAATTAATAAATACACAGATGTTCATAATGTGGGGGTCCAGTTGGAAGGCAGGATCTCTGGTGAGGCGGAGGAAGGGAAGGAAAAGAAGTCTCAACATTAATTTTTCCCTATTTTTAGGATGGAAGCGGAAAACCTGAATGATTGTCTTCAAGAAATGAGTCTTGTCACTGGATTAACCAGGGGTTCCAAAGTCTTCCTGACTCGTGAGGAAACCCAGCACTTCATCAAAGAGTAAGAACCCCACATTCTCTCCATGTCCCCAAATAGGGCTTATCCCTGTTCATTCCCATTTTTTCTGCATTACTGGATGGCATACGTCATCCATATACTTACCCTTATCTTTCAACAACTTTGCATCAAGTTTTGTAAATTGTTGCAACTTAGTCCTTGTTTTCAGGGCTAAGAGCTAAGGCTGAAGCAGAGAATCCCAATGAATCCCATCCTCTGTTTATTAGAAGTACAGTAAAAACAGTAAAAACAGAACTCCAAGGCAAGAGGTTTCCTTAAAGAACATATTTATTGGCTACAAAGTATTGGCACAGTCAGAAGTGAAACCAAGACTGAAGTTCCCTTCCAAAGGTTACAATGTTACAAAGTTGAACTCCCGACCCCAGCATCATGTCATAGATCACATTTCCCAATAAACTACTTTGGCGGGCTTTCTAACGGAAGGCTCAGCCCACCAAAACCCAGGCAGCAATGACCTTGGTTCCCACAGGACAATTTATTGTTTAGTCTAACCTTAAAATTACTCATCCCCCCTCCCAGTACTGTGGCAACTGAAAACGAAGCGGAAATGGCTTCAGCCAAGATTGTTGCAGCGTTGTCATGCAGGCAATCCTCAACTTACAACCACGATTGAGCCCAAAATTTATGTTGCTAAGTGAAACATTCATTAAGTGGGTTTTGCCCCATTTTGCAATTTTTCTTGCCACAGTGAATCACTGCAGTTGTTAAATTATTAACACCGTTGTTAAGTGAATCTGGTTTCCCCATTGACTTTGGTTGTCAGGAAGTTGCAAAAGGTGAACACATGACCCCCGGGACACTGTGACCGTTATAAATGTGAGTCAGTTGTCAAGCCTCTGAATGTAAACCACCAAGGGGATTCTGCCAACGGTCATCAGTGTGAAAAACAGTCATAAGTCACTTTTTTCAGTGCCGTTGTAACTAAGCAAACGGTTTTAAGTCAAGGACAGCCTGTATAAAAATTGAGTAACTGCCATCTTGGCACCTCATAATGACGTCCCTCCTCGCTTTGTCTTGCCTGATGTTCATATGAAGTGGATGAGAGAGGCTTCAACTGAACAGAGTGCATTTCTTTCTGAAACATCTCTGCTGGCTGGGTAAAACTGTCAGAAACATTCCCCTTTTGCACAGCATTGCTTGGGGAATCTCCAGAGATCTGGGAGAAAGCGGCTGGCGTTCTTCCTTGCCTCACAAAATTGTTCCCTTTCCTTCTCGCGCTTCTTGGGCTCCACAGGTGCGGATTGCTGAACTGTGAAGTCGTCTTGGCCCTGCTTAACCGAACCTTGAAGGACCCCAGCGAGGCCATCTGTATGGTGAGGAAACTCCTAGGAAACTATCTACTTCAGCAGGTTGCATTAAATCTATTTTCAGTTTGGCAGATGAGCATTGTTTTCTGAAACTGCAGCCATTTAGATAGAACTTGGAGGGTTTTTGCAGCTGTCTCCTTTGGGGCTAAGGGCAAGGATAGGATTTCTTTCTTACAAGTGTAAGAATTTTACCAGTACGCACGTACTAGCGTAACGTGGAGCAACAGCTGCCTGGGCTTATTCATTTTTAGGGCAACTTGTTAAGGAAAGGCTCTGACTTGAGTTCCTCATAGCAAGTCTCTTAATACTTTCACAACAGGTGGCAGCACCTGTCCGTCTTTAGCTGATTTCTAAAAAGTTAAGCAATTAAGCTGATCTCAAAATTCAATACTTAAATGGTACTGTACAGTGCTAAGGCTTGAAGACTGGACTGAAATAAAATAAATCTCAGAAGGCAGTAGTGAACTCCCTCATTTCTGCCATTGTGGCTTTATATTTTTGAACATACCAACCATTTCTCTCCCTAACCATGTGCCTTTCCCCCCTTCTTCCACAGAGAGCAATGTGTGCCATCTCTTCCCTTATGTGTTCTGACTTGCTCTCCCAGGATCATATCTTTGCTGTCACACAGCAACACTTGCAGGAGCTTAGTGAAGGGAGCCCGGGGTGCGTAGCCAACAAAGCAACAAAGGTAAATCCTGTTTTTGAAATGTCCACTTTCTAGAAAACCAGGCCATCTAGCAAAGGCTGTGTGTCCCTTGTACTTTGGCATTATGAGGCATTTCTGCATTCTGAAAAGGTCTGTGTGGGTTGGCATAGTGTGTGATTGCGTGTATGCCTTTGTTTTGACTCTGCAGCTTTTCAGGGGGTAAGGAACAAAGTAAAAAGCCAATCTGATCCACTGGACCAGCTGAGTTGTAGTCTTGCCTCAGGCGCACAAGCCCGAGTGATAGCCTTGGGCCAGTCACTCTCTCTCTCAGCTCTAGGAAGAAGGCAAGGGCAAACTGCTTTGGAAAATGTTGCCAAAAGCAGCAGAGACTCACTCATCCCACCCACCAGGAGTCAAGATTGACTTGAAGGCAAAGGAACAAAAGATCTGAATATTTTGTATCCCTCTCAATATTTAATGTACTCTAGGATACTTTGCTTTGGAGGCGCATGTATCCTAGAGATAGTTTTGCTCGTATAGCTAATACATATTAGCTTTAATAGAAGCAATAGCATTCACTGCCAATGATGCTCTGAGTTTCAGAACCCCCCTCCCTGCCCCCCCTCCCCCCAAGGCTAGGGCATCATAGACAGTGCTTGCCTCTCAATTAGTAAAATGAGAGCATCTAATACTGTAGCTTTGTTGCAACTAAACAGGAATGGATTTCATATTCTCTGGATGTTCAAACTGAAAATAAAATAATGCTTGTTGTTTGGAAGGACAGATACTGAAGCTGAAGCTCAGATATTTTGGCTACCTAATGAGAAGAGAAGACTCATTGGAAAAGGCCCTGATGTTGAGAAAGACATAAGGCAGTGGTGGTGAACCTATGGCACGCATGCCAGAGGTGGCACTCGGAGCCCTCTCTGTGGGCACATGTGCTGTCGCCCCAGCCCCGCCTCCCCCCGCGACCCTCTCCTCACCAGCAGCCCCCCCAGAGGAGAGTCGCCCCTGAGTGCAGCCCATGCAGAGCAGCGCAGCCAAGCACATGGAGCTGGGCAGCGGGGACAAGACTCTGCCCTCGCACTCCATTGTGCACAGATGCACAGGTGCGGGTGGAGGGCATGGCCGCAATAGCGCTGCTGGGCCGCCTGGGCGATCTGCGGCGGGTCGTGGAGGCGGGCGGAGCGGGGCGGAGCAGGCTGGGGGCGGGGATGGAGTGGGCGGGACAGGAGGGGCAGGGACAGATTTTGGGCACTCAGGTCTCTAAAAGGTTCGCCATCACTGACATAAGGCAAAAGGAGATGGTTAGATAGTGTCATAGACGCAGTGAAAATGCATATAGGCAAACTCTGGGAGACAGTAGAGGACAGAGGAGCCTGGCATGCTGTGGTCCATTGGGTTGCGAAGAGTCAGACATGGCTTAGCGATTGAACAACAACAACAAAATACTATGCTGAGTGAACACAAATCCAGTGTGGGAAAGTTTCTCTCTGAGCTCCTTGAATGTGGTTGCCTCCTTAAGTGTTAGGAAGAACCTCTTCTTCCCTATTGCCCTTGTTGTTCTTCTCAAGTTCTTTTTTTCTCTTCTATCCCACTTACAACAGATATCGCGTCAGTTCGAAGCCCTCTGCCGAAGCCATTCCACTCCCAAGAATCCACCGCCGGTTGCTGCCTCCTGTTTCTCTGCCAAGACCACCTTGGAGCATGCGGACGACCTGCTGACAAATACGGTGCCCTTCTCAGAAGACTCCTTCCTGAAGCCCATTAACCTGTCACTGCAGCCCTCCCAAGCCCCCAAGCTCATCACCAGTAACATGTTCCTACCAGCAGGACAGATGCCAGAATCTCTGTCCTGTGGCCAATTGGATGTCCTGCCACCTGATCTCAGTCAGCAGAGGGCAGAAGGCAGACTGCCAGACTCTGACCCCCAAGAAGAAAGGCCCCCAAGGGGTGATCCAGATGGCACCGTTTCTTTATTTGCTGGCATGGAACTGATCGCACCTTCAAGCCTGGCACTAGTAGCATCTGTGCAGGGTTGCATTTCTCCAGCACCACACACAGCATCTTGCCCTGGGATTACTAGGGATAGCGAGGACAACCAGCAACTTTCTGCTTTTCCCTTCCTTCACGTATAGCCCTTCCCTGGTTGGGGGGGGGGAAATAAATGAGCCACAAACCAACTATCTTTCTAGCTCTTTTCAATAGGCTGGGGAGGGGGGGGGGTCTTCTTATAGAACAGGGGCAGGCAACCTTGGCTCTTTTATGACTCATGGACTTCAACTCCCAGAATTCCTGAGCCAGCATGGCTCAGCTTGGAAACCTCTCCCTTTCCCCTCAGCATGGCTGGCTCAGGAATTCTGGGAGTTGAAGTCCACGAGTCATAAAAGAGCCAAGGTTGCCTACCCCTGTCATAGGATAAGCAATTGCTTTAGTTAGGGACTGCTGAGCCTCAGTACAGGTAGTCCTCGACTTAAAAACTCTTCGCTTAGTGACCGTTCAAAATTACAACGGCACTGAAAAAAGTGACTTATGACCTTTTTTACAATCTTTGCAGCATCACGATCATGTGATCAGAATTCAGCTTGCTTGGCAACTGGTTCATATTTATGACGGTCGCAGTGTCCCAGGGGTCGTGTGATCACCTTTTGCCACTTTCTGACAAGCAAAGTCAATGGGGAAGCCAGATTCACTTAACAGCCGGGTTAGTAATTTATCAACTGCAGTGATTCACTTAACAACTGTGGCAAGAAAGGTTGTAAAATGGGGCAAAACTCAACAGACGTCCCACACTTAGCAGCAGAAATTTTGGGCTCAATTGTGTTTGTACGTTGAGGACTACCTGTAGTTTGTCTGATCTTACTAGGAATTTTATCATCTTTATTCTTGACGGATCAGGAGGGGGGAAAGCTCGTTTCTTGTCACTCTATTCTGAAAACAGTTAAGGTTGATATGTCCCACTAATTTATATTCTTACTGAATCATCTGTGAGAATGAGAGAGAAGACTTGAATCCTACCTGCTGTCTCTTAAATGGGTTATTTTTACTGAGAGAGAAAATAAAGACAACCCTATGTTCTCATGAAGAACAATATGTAATTGGTTCTTGTGAAAAATATTACTTTCTTTCATTACTAAAACTGAGTTCCATTTTATATTATTTGTTCTTGCCGGTTATATTATTCAGGCCAGGGCTTTTCAACCAGTGGTACGGGTACCACCTGTGGTACATTGGCACCTGGCAGGTGGTACGCGACCATCCTAGAAAAGTGGTAGTGGGGAAGGAGAATGAGCTGAGCCGGTGGCAGCACCGCACAAGCCTGAGCGAGAGACGGCTGGAGCTGCAGGGCTGTCAGAGTTCAGTGGAAGCGCCAGGATCAGTGCCAGGCTCCAGCTGGAGCTCGGCACTGATCTTGGTGCTTCTGCTGAGCCCTGAAGAAGCACCAATCAGCTGGAAAGCAGCACTGATCCTGGCGCTTCTGCTGAGCCCAGAAGAAGCGCTGATCAGCTGGAATATTGCAGCATCTCCAGGGTCTTGTGATTTACATTCAGATGCTTGGCAACTGATTCATATTTATGACGGTCACAATGTCCCAGGGTCATGTGAAGTGACCAAAACCTGCTACAACCACCCAGCAGACGGGGGTAATAAAAACCACCCCACCCCCACTGCCAATCCTCAACAGAAATGCTCATAACAATGAAAACCTCGGACAGGAGGAAGAGCGGTGCTGGGTGGGCAGGCAGGTGTCTTGCTCAGCTGTGGCTTGGGGGACACTTTTTTCAGTGCCATTGTAACTTCAAACAGTCACTAAGCGAACTGTTGTAAGTCGAGGACTACCTGTACTTTATCATTTTTTTCCTTTTGGGGGGGGTCATCAAGTTTTTGACACCTTGCTAGGCGACTGGTGGTACTCGGATATTGCCATATCCTAAAAGTGGTACAATGGGTGAAAAGGTTGAAAAGCCCTGATTCAGGCTATGTCACCCCTTTATCTCACTTCTTTCCCTTTGACAGAGACAGCTCCTCATTTGAGGTGTTAAGGGCTATCAAAATTATTAAAACTAATTTTTTTTTAAATGAATTGGAAATGAATTGAGGGAGTTTGCCTACTCCCTACCAATTGAGGGAGTTTGCCTACTCCATACCATATGCAGCTGGTATGGAATAAAGCAAAATAGGGACAAAGTATCAAGTGAAGCCCCATTTTTCCGCTCTGAGACTTTGTGAAAGCTCCAGCAACTAAACAAGGAAACAACCTTTGTCAATGCTGTCATCCTTAGGCAACATAGCTAACTGAGGACAATTAGTTAATTCCTTCCAACCCTCACTCTACTGGCTAGCATTAGAGAGGGTTCACACAACATGCTAACTCTCTTGTCTAAATCAAGTGTCAAAGGCCATTGTTTGAAATTCTGCATGTAACAGAGAACGTCTAGAACGGGTAGGCAACCTTGGCTCTTTTATGACTCATGGACCTCAGCTCCCAGAATTCCTGAGCCAGCATGGCTCAGCTTGGAAACTTCTCTCTTTCCCCTCAGCATGGCTGGCTCAGGAATTCTGGGAGTTGAAGTCCACGAGTCATAAAAGAGCCAAGGTTGCCTACCCCCTGGTCTAGAAGAATAAAGATTACTGACTGTGCTAGTGACCTCTTCTGCCCATTCTGGGAAGGAAAGCTAATTATGGCCCACAAAAAAACCTTGCTTTTAAACATCCTCACAAGTCTCTTGGTCAGGTGACTTTGTGAACTTTATGATCCCACTGCTACTTGAAACAGAGCTAGCCCTGTTTTACATCCAACCTTTTCTTGTCTTCCCTAACCTTTCCCCCTGCAAACAGGAGGGCTAGAATAAAGTTGCTGTCAGAAGCTTAGGTGGAGCTTTCAATACTCAGATCAGCAGAAAATTACAAATGCTATTATGTGGGTCAGTATCCAGATTTGATTTCATCCGATAGCCCACAGACTCCTCTAAAACTTTGACTTGAAGAAGTAAAAGCTTTTGATTGGGCAGGAAATCCAGACACAGGACTCATGAGCACCATGGTACCTGTTTGTCCCCCAAAGAAGCACTGACAGTCCTTCAAAACTGTGTTATCATATGACATAGCAAGACAGCAAGACTTAAAGGGCTACTGGTCATGCAAAATATTTTTTTATATAAAAAGTGGGGTACTCTAAATAAATTGTGCTTCTTCTCTGGAGGTCTTGCATTCATTTCTTATTTATAGGTTCTTAGATTAAAATTTTCCAATGCTGAGCAAGAGAGTTGTTAAATGAGGTCTTCCTCATTTTATGACTTTTCTTGCTACACTGCAATTGTTAAGTTAGTAACATAGTTGTTAAGTCAATTTGGCTTCTCCATTGACTTTGATTGTCAGAAGGTCACAAACATGACCCCGGGACACTGCAACCATCATAAATACATACCAATTGCCAAGCATCTGAATTTTGATCATGTGACCACAGGAAAGCTGCAACGGTCATGTGAAAAATAGTGATAAGTTACTTTTTTCAGTGTTGTAACTGAGCGGTCACTAAATGAATGGTTATAAGTTGAAGACTACATGTTATATGGTTGTTGGTTGATATGCCTATGGAAAATAGATGATCATGACACTGAGGCAGCTGACCTTTATATAGAAAAATAAGTCGTGACAATTTTGCCGCTTGCATCAAGGAATTAATTCCCCAGTAGTTGTCATTAGTTTTTTGGGAAAAAACAGTGGGTTTCTGAGAACAGTTTCTGTAACTGTGGCGTTGCCATGGATTTTTGATGGCTGTGCAATCTGCCTAGACATATTTACAGTATTGTCTGAAATCAAGGATTTGGGGACTTCAGTTCACACCAGAAATGAATTTAGTCTTTATTTTTCAAAATAATCTAGTCTACACAGAGGCCAGTAATCCTCTATTTGCTGCCTTAAATGGTTCCTGGACAAAACAAAGTTTTATGATTGAGTTCTGTTTGAAGCTGAAAAGCATTTCAGAACATAGTATGTTTGGGATCTCTCTCTCTCTTTCTCTTTAGTGATTCAGTAACATGGTCAATCTGGCAATAAATCACATACAAATAGAGCATTTTTGAGGTTTTCATCAGTAACACATCTGTACTTTGCCTAGCAACCTGGTTTCAAGAATTGCCATGTTACATGGGATGTTTATTTTAAGTCAGAAGCAATTCAGTTTTTAGAAAATGCCTCTTAAACTATCAGGCAAGCAAGTCTGAATCCAAGGAGTTATATTACATGGAGGAAGATTTGTTTGTTTTTACCTGTATGGTTTTTAAAAACATATTTTTTTGTCTATGAGGAAATCATATTGTGCTGATATATTGTGGAATGTTATGATTCATAGCAGGACCAAGTCCTGCAAACCTATCTTCCTCCTACTGCAGCACGCTGATTGGAGGATGTTTTTCCTATTGACTTATGATGTGCAGATCAGAAAGGACAGCAAAGCTGAGAAACCCATCAATTATTTTGCTCATCATCTGCTGCACACACATCAGGAAGGGTGATTTAATACTTAAATTCCCCTTAATGCAGGGGTGTTAAACTCGCAACATCATGTGATGTGTCGTGACATATCACAACTTTTTTTCCATTGCTAGCAATGGGGTGGGCGCAGTTTTGGCATGACACCTCTGGCCTGTGGGCCGGCAGTTTTGACACCCCTGCCTTAATGCCAATCAAACATTCAAACTTTTTACTGTAGGAAGAATTTGCATTGCCTATAATTGTGAAACAGGTTCAACTAAAAATCTTATTTTGTAAATTGACCAGGATGTATTAGGACAGGGGTAGGCAACCTTGGCTCTTTTATGACTCGTGGACTTCAATTCCCAGAATTCCTGAGCCAGCCATGCTGAGGGGAAAGAGAGAGGTTTCCAAGCTGAGCCATGCTGGCTCAGGAATTCTGGGAGTTGAAGTCCACGAGTCATAAAAGAGCCAAGGTTGCCTACTCCTGTATTAGGAGCATTTAAACTCCTTAATTATTGCCACAGCTGCATGTAACGCCGCTGCTGCGCGAGCTGCACTGGCTACCAGTGGCCTTCCGGGTACGCTTTAAGGTGTTAGTTACCACCTTTAAAGCGCTCCATGGCATAGGACCTGGATATTTACGAGACCGCCTTCTGCCACAGATTCCCTC